TTTTTCCGATGCTTCGTCTTGTACATTATACACAGTGTACGCCCTAAAATTGTCGTGGATCATCTGCTCGAGTATGAGAAATTTTGGGGACCCAAGAGGAAGTAATTAACTTGTCGGGATGGAGTTGACTTTTTTTTTTTCTTTTTTTTTCTTTTTTTTTTTTGAACCTCTCAAATGTGTGGTTCTTGGTTATTAGGTAAGACGATTCCAATGATGAGAGTGGAAATTTTTTCAACAACAATTTTGTCGTTTATGCGGGACACGTGTCGGCGTTTGTGTTACATACTTTTTGAAAAAATCATAGTTGAATACACGTGTATATTTTTGAGAACCTTTTTTTTTTCTTTTTAATTCAACCTTAATTGGTTTACTTGACTACAAAGAAATTCACGATTTTTGGCTTCCTTAATCATTACAATTCACCTTGTCAATTGTCTTTAATTAAAAATTTAGCATACAGTTTATTAAAAATGAAAAAAAAAAAAAAAATGAAGAAACACGCTTCAACCAATGTAGTAATGTTTTCTTTTACATGTAGATGAACGCATCCTTGTCCTCCATATAAATTGCATTCGCGCGTAACGAGAAAAAAAGAGAGTGAGAGGGCAAGGGAAGGGAAAGAAATGAAGTTAAGCATACACGAGCACATCTCTTACGCAAGACAGTCGCCGGGGAGCTTTTTATCCATTTGGCGTGCATGTGGATACACACACCTGATGGCAGCTCGCTTCGGTTTCTCTCGATAAGTGTACATATACGATCCATGTAATTTTTGGTGCACCATTGCTTGCGTACGTATTCAACTGCAGTTTTTTTATCACGTTCATGCATTCGGACCAGTAGGCCCTACTGTGGGCGACCGTGAGATTGCCTATGTTGTTTTACTTTTGCATTTTTATTGTGGTCCTGCGTCATCAACTGTATCAACTTTCAGGCTCAGCAACAATTGTTTTTGCTACGAAAATAATTTTTCTTCCACGCGATAAAAAGCTTAAATTGATGACGTTTTTAACAATCATCATCATCGTTCATCGGATTAATTGTGAGGCTTTTATTTTGTCGACTCAACGATATCGGCAAGTATATATATCTACATTTCACTTTGCAATTCCTGGTAATGCGGTATCAAAGTTTGTCTCAAAATATTTTTACAGTCAGTACAGCCACCTTGCGTATTGTTAATTTGATACCGCGATACAGTTACGCTCTGAGCTGACCGTAGGATGTACTCGGGGTATCACAGGTCGTAGTTACTAACAAATAAATAATATTCAAACGGATTATCTTTCGTAAGATTTTAATAAGTCTTCCTTCTAGTTTAATTTTGTTTCAATAGATGCGTGCTGGTTCGAAATTAGGAAAATGTAAAATAAAGTACTTAAACTGAAAAAAAAGAAAAATCGGATGGTTGTAATCTAAGTGGTAATAATGAGGAGTTTCTTCCGTACATCTACGGAGAAAACTTGACATAATTTTCGGGCTTCGCGAAACTCAGCTTAAAACCCCTTCATTTTACGTGTCTCCAATTTTTGATTTCTTTCTGTTGAAAACCTCGCAGGGTATAAATGATGGAGAAAAAAATAAAATCCTCGAATCTCTTGATGGATATTAAAATGAGAAATAAATGCAAGCCCAGAGAAATGAAAAATATCAACTCGCAATCATTGATAAGCCATCGGGACACCACGTGCGAGTGTAGCATGGGTGAACCTCGCGCGCCCCGAGAGTTTTTGCACCCGAGACCACGGGCTCGGCCTCGAAATACGATTCCCGTCGATACGATACACCGACAGTCTCTCGTCCGGCGCGCGTACATAAACGATCAAGTGACTTCCCGGAGGAAGGAGGGTACTGTCGCACACCGATTAAATTAATACTTGGGTGCATATTATATACGTTATAGTGTAACTTTCGCGATTTAAAGCGGCATTAAAGCCGATGCGGTAAAACGAGAGAGCAAGAGGAAGAAAGGAGAAACTGCACCGAGCAAAAATCCAAAAGTGAAGGCGAGGAAGGAAAAAAGACCGCCAGGCGAGGAAAACCTGTGAAATGTCAAGTAGCATAGTGTCGTGTACTAATTTTTAACCATTTATTTTATTTTTATTTTTTTATTATTATTATTTTTTTTTTTTTTCATATAAGGTCGCCTGTATAGCCCTGATCGATGTACTCGAATGAATATGGTAATATTCGTAGAGATAATTCGAAAAAATCACGGAATCTTCGTCACGAGTTGACGAAGCGAGTGACTCGAACTTAATTGATGAGCCTTGCCTGACTATAATCGAAGCTTACTACTTGTGCGAGATGCCTTTACCTGACTATGGCTGATTGTTAAATTACTAGTAAAAAATCAAATAAAGCAAAAACCTTGTATTTGTCTCGACGAGGAGTCTACAAAATTTTATCTAAGCTCGTAGGAAAAAAAAAAAAAAAAAAAAAAAAAAAAAAAAAAAAAAAAAAAAAAAA